CAGCTGGTGTGTACTTCCGGAATTCGTCCATGTCTTCATCATGATGAATCTACTTTAGCGAGCTCCGAATGACATCAAAATTTTACTTTCAAATACGATCACGAGATGGTAGAAGCCAAAAATAGCACACCTCTTCATCTGATGTTGTGTAAGTGTTGTTAGAAGTAGATTTGTGGTAGTTAGCTTAATATGGTATAACGGCTCGAACACGTCGCGTATATCTAGTATGTATGAAATGAAATTAAAACTAGGACAACTCAACTCATCGTTTACATAATAAAAAAAAAATGTTTAACCTGCAATACACAAGGAAATTTAAGTTGTTTCGACAATCGAACCAAGTTTTCGAAAATGAAAACCTCAACCACGAAATTCTTTTTCGGGTATGAAAAAGAATAATAATAATAATAATAATAATAATAATAATAATAATAATAATAATAATAATAGTAAAAAAGATAGAACACCAACCCGTCAGACTTTTTCTACGCATTCTTGGGCACAGCAACAAAGATCGTAATTATTTTATTGAAAATAATCAGGCCCGTTAGATTTTTGGAAAAATCATGTGTCTCTGGAGGCTCTCCGCTGGTCTGAGAGTGGGCTCATAGTCGCTCAAAAGAGGAACGGACTACAATATTGTGGAACTCTTCTATAACTGACACCAATTTAACAGTTAAAAAGCAAACTTAAAAAACTAGCTACCTTGAGAAATAAAAATGTTTCAGATTAACTAATCTCCAGAAGTTGTGGAAATCATTGGACTAGAGTTTTATGGCTTTCCCCTTTTACCAACCATGCACAAGACACCTTACATTACACTATTACTTTTTTAATGATTACTGATCCTAGAAAGTTAAGGTAATTGAAATCGACTAAAATGTAGTAAAAAATCTAGTTAAATCTCCTTAAAAGTAGTTCATTCAAATCAACAGACAAAAGCTATGTAAATGTTCTATTATTCTATGACTATTCTGTATTATTTTAAACTTAATTAACTAGCAAACAGTGCAAAAATTTAAGAATGACATCCGGCTAAAGACCGTTCTAAAACTAGATCATCTAATTAGCTATATTCAAGAGCATGGAATAGCAAAGCTAACTTTATCTTTAAAACAGTAAAATGGATGCCATCATATCCTCCTGCGAAGACGATTTTAAAATCTTTTTGAACAACAGTATCATCTCCACCAAAGTTTGGTCCTATTTAAGATTATATCATGCAAATACAGCCATACTATCTCGCGAATTCTTTGATGACGTTAAATAAGAGTTCCCCCCCACGGGAGTGCTCCCTTATATGGGCTATATAGGTATGTGCGGCCCCAAAGGGTATGCTTATTTTTAGCCGTTTTGGTCATAAATAGGGTATTGATTTTTGGCCATTTTGGTCTTAATTAGGATATAGTTTTTCGCTCTAGTCTTGAATTGGGTATGTTTTTTTTTTAAAGAAGAAGCTACTCTTTCACTATTATCGATCAGATCATCAACAAAATCATTTCACAATGCTTTTAGCATCGGTCTGAACAAGGTAACTAATTATAAGACAGGTCTGAAACAGGATACTGATTTCAAAGATCAGGTCTTAGATAGCTAAGATAGGGAAAATCGCAGATTTTGGTCTTAAATAGAGTACGGTTTTGGAAAGCAAGCCGCACATCCCCACCCAAATTTTTCTGGGAGTACCCCCCCCCCC